GTTCATCAAAACTCCACAGTCGGATGCGCTAATACAGCGATCATTCGTCGTCGATATTCGGCAGATCAGAAGAGAATGGTTGTCCGACATGCGAGGGAACATGACCAAAAATCTGCATCTAGAAAGTATGGCGTTCATCCCAAAAATGTTTACCGTTGGGTAAAAGATGAAATGAATGGAAATTTCAGCCGACAGCGTGTTTCGAAATATGGCAACAAGCCTGGCGCCGTAAAAAAATTGACGTACCCACAAGAAATAGAAGACAAACTTGTAAAGTTTATTTTGGTGTTGCGTGACAACCACGTTCCAGTTACAACGCAGTTGTTATGACAGCAGGCAAAAAAACTTATCAGCCCACATTGTATCGAATTTAAGGCATCGAAAGGATGGGCCCAACGATTCTGTAGGCGCCATTCACTGGTTATTCATCGACGCACTTCTGTTGCACAACGCCTTCCAAGGGATTTAGAAGAAAAAAAATAACTGCCTTCCATGAATTCATAGTTTCACAGCGACAGAGGTACAACTTTCCCCTGGATTTGATTGGAAACATGGACGAAACACCCATGTATTTTGATTTACTGCCGACAACCACCTTGGAGCGAAAAGGGGCGAAGTCTGTTTCGGTAAAGTCGATGCTGAAAAACGTCACCTTACTGTGATTTTGACCGTGATTGGTAATGGCAAAGTCCTCCCCCCTATGGTTATTTTCAAAGGGGTGCGTAAGCTCAACATTAACGTCCCGCCTGGCATGGTTGTCGAAGTCCAGAAAAGGGGCTGGTGTGACACTGATATGATGAAAAAATGGTTGCGCCGAATTTGGCTTTGTTATACAAAGTCACGTGGGTCACTACTAGTTTTTGATTCTTTCCGTGGTCACTTGCATGACGATATGACTGCTCTGCTCAAAGCTAACACTTCACGACGTGTTATCCTAAGCGGGTGCACTTCAGAACTTCAGCCTCTTGATGTTTGTATAAATAAACCATTTAAGCAATACATGAGAGAAGAATGGTTGGCGTTTATGCGACAACAAGTAGAGAACACCTCAGAGGGACAGCGACCGAAGACGGCAACCAGACAAAATGTTGTCGACTGGGTCGCGAGTGCATGGCAGAAATTGATAGACAACCCGGAAATGGTGAAGAAGTCGTTCAAAGTTACTGGGATTACAAATTCGTTGGACGGCAGCGAAGATCAGTTGTACAGATGCCCAACACTACAGAAAGAGGTGGAGTCATCGGCAGCCGATAACACGAACATCAACTTGACAGAAGCGGAGGACGAACATCAGAACGACGGCGCTTCCGACTCCAGCAACAATAGCGACTCTGAGAACCTTCCGTCCAATGAAGAAATGACTGAACGTTTTTTCGACAGTGATGATGATGAAGAGGAATTTCTGGGATTCTGATTTGTTTAAATATGTTCTAAACGAAACCTATTTTTACTTGTTTTTTTTTCAGGTTTCGTATTTCGTGAGTTATTTTGTTTACACTTTTCTAATGTGGACGATGTTTGAACTCCTGGAATTTTTCTTAATTATTTTACCGTGATATCATGCACACTTTTGTTTTAATTTTTCATACAAATTTTGCTAATATACTTTCTTTTAAATCACTAACCTGACAGTTGTATTGAAAACTGTAATAATAAATTTTCACGTCAAGTACAAAAAAATGTGTTGATCACTGCTTGTTTATTTTGTATATAAAGTTTACATTTACGGTACTCGAAAATCATGATTTTTTAGGGGTGGGCGCTTACCCGAGCACCCCCCTCGAAAAAGAGTGCAAATGAAAAATTTGATTCATCAAGTGACAGATTACGTCTTTGAGGGAAAATCAAATTACGAATTTAGTTGAGTCGTCATTGATTATCACAAGGAAGAAACAAAAATGATCACAACAAATATGCACATTTTATTACAATATTAATTACGTACCACCAGAATTTATGAAATTAAAAACATTTGAGTCTGTTGGAACACAGTCGAAGTCAAAATTGTCATATTATCTCCACTGACGAAGGTGTTGG